CGCCTCGTAGCACGATTACTCGTAGTACGGGGTCTCGCTGCTCTTGGTCTGGCTGCTCCCGTTTGGCCTTCCTGGCATGGTTGCACTTTGTGGAACGAAGTTTCAGCCAGTGTAGCCCGCGGGATCGCTGCGGAACTGAAGCCCGACCACCACGTCAAGGTGGCAGCTTTAGGTCGGAAGCATTCTATCCATTGACTTCTGAACAATGCCGCGGAAAACATGTGACCTTATCGACGACGTACACGTTAAAGAATCGTGTGATCTGACCAACAATGTCCAATGAATTGTTGAAGCATGGTTCTAGGAAAGATCGGAGTAGCAGTGACTTGTGATTTACGAAATGGATATTGGCTGCTTCTATGGCAACAGCCAAACAGCATACCCTAGGATACATTCAGCTACTAGTTTTGCCGGAGACCATCCCTTCCATTTGTGCAAGTGTCATCGCAGCTACAAGAGAACTCGTAGACCGTATGCGAAACACAGGGGGCGGCTTTCCATTTTTCCAATTCCTCCGGTAATCAGCATGCAACGTAGCCAGACCTATGTACAAACCCTGTGATTGATCAAATTTAGCTTGTACATTATCCCTTTATTTACTCACTTTTTCTGAAAGTGAAGGAAGAATGGGATGCCATCCTTTGCTAATTGAGCCAATGATTTTGACTAGGAGTAGCAACAGAAAGTCCCAGGTTACAGTTGGTCACTATTGCCGTCTTGAGGAGTTCCTCTTCTTGCTGCACTTGATCCAAGCAACAAGGGCTCCCCAGCTTTCATAGATGGCTTTCAAAAGGATTTGATATCTTGAGGAACTCATTCCAGAACCAGATTGTATGTACCGAGGGAACGAAAAAGCCTGGATGGTAATTATCATATTCCAAGAGCGGTCGGTTGGGTTTACTACAAACATGGGGAGTGCAAAAAAATCTTCTTGCCACTGAAATACATCACAGTTCACAACTTGCCAGCTAATACTGTGGCAGTGCTTTAGCTAATTAATGTTGACCAATCGAAATCTTTCAGACGCCATCATCAAGTGTCAGCATCAGTCTATGAACATTGGAATTGTTTGAATTAATTTTAGCCCGATAGACAGAAAAACGCAGGAATCGTGCATTTTCACGCTCTCGGATTGTTTTGCTTCTGGAAATAGACAATAGACTTGGGATAGACAATGTCGACCTTATGAGGCATGGGAAATTTCCGACTGTTTTTTTCACGATGGCTACTGCACCAGTTCGTCGGTTGGAGTTGGTAACGCAAGGACAGCATTTTTACTATGAGTACCATCAGAAGTGTGAAATTTTATAAGTTATACAATAGTAACCTGACGGTAGGTAAACAGGGTGGCCGCTGTATAAGCGGTTTTGCCATCAGTTTACTGCACTTCAGATATTTTGGCTTCCGGATGGCTAAATTTGGTACTAGCTGTGTGATTGTAATGTTTTTAGAGATGGTGTACTTCGATCAGTGAAGAATTCGTCATGCAAGTGAAGTTAGTCCGTACCGAAAAACCGAGAAGCAGTTTGCAGCTGTTTAATCTTTATTTAGAATCATCATCAGTGAACCTTTCACAAATCTATGCATATGTTTCAACCCGCGATATCTCAGCTGGTGGGCGGAGACCAACGCGTTCCGCTACAAGCGGCTAACACAGAAAGGATATATCACCGCCCATTCTCCAGTCATACAATTCGGACCATGCGCGTTGACTGGCTCCCAAATTGACGAAATCTTAGATAAAAGCTTCTTTTCTCATTCATTACTGGCTCATTTCTTTCTTGTCCCCCCTTATTCAAAGGCAAAAGAAGTGAAGCTACAAGAAGAACAAGCCCAAACAAAGCAACTTGAAGCAAAACTGCGTGCGATGGAAAGCAAGCTGTTGCGGGGTGATCAGTCTATTGTGGAACACACACGAATGCAAGAAGCCACTTTGGCTCAGCAGCTAAGCCAAATGGCTGAGCAACAGCGGAGAGAGCGTGAAATTGTGGCTCGGATGGAGGAAGCTGAGGACAGTATGGCAAACCTTCAGGAAGGATTCAGTTCACTTAAACAGGAAGTGGAAGTAAATACTCGAAGGCTTCGGAAGTTGTATGAGAAGCTTCAAGTGAGTAAATTTTACTTCACCCATCGTGGCGGTTCCGTTCTGCGGAAAATAGAATGGTCATTTTCAGTGGATCAGGAATCGTTTTCAGTCATTTCGGTTATGTTGACGGTAAAAATAATGTTTCGCTTAAACGAGTTTTTGATGTGTTTGAGTAATGAGCGGACCCCATGAAAAGGGACAACAGATTTCTTTTTAATATGAAGTTCTCTGGTGCACTCCATAACCGGTCAATGGAACTAAATGATTTACGGTCATCAAGTGAAACAACAAATCGGAAATCAAAACAATCATTTAGAAGAACGTTACTCAAGGGGAAGCAATGGAGTAATAGAACCAAACCACGGCGCACCCCATCATCCCCATTGTTTCGCCAACTTTTTATCACACTTTTGGCTAGTTTATGGATGGCACTTATACTGGCGCTTTTTCTTCGTGCTTTCGAGCAACAACCGATTCATATTCTGTGTTCAGATCACTTCATATTCCGGAATACATCACAGGTCCCCAACCAGATGTGGATTCTGACAACAGTTACAATTGCAAGGTTTATTCATTTTTATTTGCTGGTAATATGTTATGGTATGAAGCATGGGTAGATTTGTAATTTTACTACGGAAAATATTCTCTCGAAAATAATTGTCCAGTTTGTCCACTTAATATGAAATTCACAACACTAAACGTCCTTTCAGTTGATGGAGTATGCGTGCGTAAAATGCACACCATGTAGTTTTATTCTTTATATGACGGTTGTATGCGAAAAAATAATTAACCCCTAGTTGTAGGTTCCAGAAAAATATCATAATGCCACGCGAAGTGTAAAAAAGTATATGATCGAGTCACTGCAATGACAGTGCATGAAAGAAAAGCCTTGCTGTCCCACTATATATTCTGGATCAGCTAAACTAATTGAAGGTGAAATTTCACATGAACGACAAACACCATTCAATCCAAGGATATGTTTTGTGGAATTAAACTGAAGCGGCAAAGAAGGCAGAAACGAATAGTCTTGGAATCTGTCAAGAGTTCGATGAAATGTGTATGAATCTATGTTAGGTGAATAACTCGGCAACCTATAGAAGCAACCCCAGCAGCACGTTCTTCGTACTATATAAAAGATATATCGATGGTGCACATACCCTATAATTTCCTGGATGTACTCAATATGCTGTTTGAAGATTAGTTGTGGCACCTGTTTAGAGTGACCTGGACGATCTGTAACGTCTAATGTGATTGCACGCAGTTTAATTACGGACAGGAGGGGTCTCTAGCAAATCAGCAACACGGTTGTATCTACAAATACATAATAATAGCCTTGAATATTTGGAGTTGAAAAAATTAAAAATTAGCGAAAATCCCCCTACATTTTGCACTGAGTGGTCAGTAATCTTGAAACTGTGTGCGTCGACCACGTGACTGGCAAACCGAAAATAAATTTATTTGAACTTATTAACAAAGCGTAGTTGCACAAGTACACACAGAGAACTAAAGGCGTAATTCTGCCTTACGGTACAGGAAAAGCTCTTACGTGAAGCTTTAACTGGCCTTCAGTACACAGTGATAGAAGTCCAATGGTGGTTTGGTTCGAAACGTTTTAGTTCAGGATTACAGCCTACATTGGTTTGATAGTGCTAGATGATTTTACCCCTATCGGTCTGCATTCCACTTGTGTACTCATGTCAAGCCTTCTATACTTTGGGCCAGGCGTCCACCGAACACGATTAGGCGAGTGCTGTTTTTGGCAGTTGCTGTGCTTTTTGTCGCGTGTGAACCTCAGAAATTACCGTGAGAAATGGGCCGGGTTGAGAATAGCCTTATTTACCGATGAATGCACGTGCGGATAAAGGTTTAAACTCAGAACGAAAGAAATAGTGCGATATGAACCTTAATGAGGCTACATACAAGGAAGTTAATGTCGGATGAAACCTTGAGAGCAAACCAACCGTTCGCGGTTGCGAGTGAAGCATCCTGGTAAATTCACTGCAAACAAATAGGCATTTAATGGACTGCACAAACAAAGCCTATTCTTTGGAGAAAGGAAAAACACACAAGAACATCTAACTAACCAGAGAAGGCATAATAGTTTAAACAATTTTCTTCGAGATTGGGCCTACTTTCAACTGTGCCTATACCAAGAAATTGTGTGCAAGTTGATACTGGACTGTCTAGCGGATATGGATATAAAGGCAATTTTTTCACCAGCGAAAAAATCCGGGGAGATCACATGTTCTAGTTTGAAAGTTAATAAAAGTACTGAAAATGAATATGATTAGGCAGAGAGCATCCTAGTACAACTTACCTCACCTGTTTACAAAGTATCGGAAGGGCTTTGGTGGACAAGGGGAAAGCGATTGCAGAGGAGCAGCCTGAAAAACACTGGTGTTAGCTCTGAGTTGGACACGGTTCCGGAGTTAATCACCTAGAATCGTGGGTATATTTCGGTTGGAGTAATATTGGGAAGGGAGCTGGAAAGAACACAGTTCACTGCAACGAGATGACCCATCAGAATTGTCCGCCAAACCACCGTGGTTGATCTCAGAAGCAACAGCATACACAAGATAAACAAAATAAGCGACAAATAACGCTAAGGAAACTTCAGTAGCCGTCTCCTCTGAAACTTATTCCTATAGTCCCTGAAACACCAGTATGATAATACTAGTCGAAATAGGTGGACCCATTTTCCTGTAGCTGAGACCGAGGAACTCTGTTTTTTCATGGGAACATTAAGGAAACCTGGATGGTGGCATGACATCGGGCGCGGTTATTCTCCTTAGAGAACGCTATCTTTTATAAAACAGGCAAGATCTGGTTCATCAATTTCTCCTATAGAATTACACTGAATGAATTTCAATCTCGTTCTTCTAAACCATCTGGTCGTACAGGTGCACCAACATGTAGGTCTCATAAATTTTCATTTTACGTATCACTGATTAAAACCTAGGGATAGGATAGTACAAAAAATCACGACGCTGGTTGGCTGCGAATCGATTTAGGATACACAGCTTACAGGTGCCACAGCTTTTGTAGCCTCTGGAATTTTCACAATCCTCAGTCACATACTGTTATATCTGACTGCTGTCACCGCTCCAGTGCCTAGTGCCAGCCCAAGACTCACCGGCAAAAAACAACGAATTTATTGCAAACAAGCTACTGCGATCGATCCAGTATATGCCCAGAAGATTAAGTTCACAAACACTGAGATAGACAATACCACGATCACGATGGCCTGCTATCTCCATCTCACAATCAAATTCACGATGCAATCGACGCTCACATCTTGATGAATTCCTGGTGGTATTCATTGTCGGTGTGAATTTCGGTGACCTCATCTTCCTCTAGGTGCACCGGGAAACCATCGTAATATCGGAAGCTGTAGTGAGCTGCAAGCGAATTGTGCTTCCGGTTGCTCTGATTGCAAGATACTTGCGATGAGCAAGTATCGAAGGTAAAACCAGCATCAGGGTCATCATGGAACTCCATGATGCTGTTGGCGATCGATGCTACTGACTTTGCATCTGGGGAGTTTGCATTTGCTGCTTCAAGGCTTCCACCAAACGAAATTGTGCCTCTTTAAACTGATTTTGCTTCAGTAGTTATTGTCATGGTTCCGTGGGTTCGGACGTCGCCAAACTGTAGTATCTGACTGCTGTCCCCGCCTCAGTGCCTAGTGCCGGGAAAAGACTCATCAACAAGGAACACAACGGCCTTATTGTAGACAAGCGACTGAGTGAAAGTACAACAGCCTCGCGCTGTATTTTAAGGGCATTTTTTGCCTTTGATCCAAGGCTGGTTGATGGTGTTTAGTAAAGTACAACAGCCTCGCGCTGTATTTTAAGGGCACTGTCTGACCTTGATCCAAGGCTGGTTGATCGGTGTTTAGTGAAGTTTGAGGGTCTCAGTAGGTTTCGGGTATCCTGGGTTAGTCTTCAGGAATCTCACCTTGCTGACATATACCAATTTAAAATAGCCTATTTCAACTTCATCATGATGGTCCTAATCACGACCATCAGTAATAAAAACAATGTTGTTTGTTATCACTCTGAAACTTCCACACAACCATACTGATTCTGTCTGAGGAAGCTGTATATGTAACTCAAAAACTGCAGGTCTATCACCACCGGGATGCACAAGCAAGTAAGTACACATGATATATTCTTAGCCCCATTGCCACCATATCTGTTATTTGGACAGCCCAATACAAAGGCAAGCAAAGTTGGGCAGTGTGGTTGACGTTGCACTCAGATATGATTGGAAGAGACCCGAATAAACTTTCTGAGAGACTTTGTGGAGTAGCTTAATCAAAATGGGATTAACTTTAGGACCGCTTGCTTCTGGAACAGTAGCTCTCACCGAAGCTTGCTGGAGGTTGAGCACACAGATTTTCATGTTGAGGTAACCATTTGACCTAACAACATTGGGTTTATACAGAGAAATTATTTTTCTTCCATTTTTAGGAAGTAAAACAAGAGATTGTTGAAGTTCAGGAAGACAACAATCGCGAACGTCAAGAGCACGAGCGAATTCAGGAGGAGCTCACGCGCCAGGTGAAACGAAGTCTACTCATTCTGCAAAATTTCGTCCCAATGGAAGACCGCATTAAGCTTGAAAAACGTGTCGTATTCGATGAAGACACCGAACAATGGGAACTCAAATCATTGATTCCACAGGCTGGTAATCAGCACAATGAAACAGAAATAAGGTTTGCTTTACTCGTAAAATGAGTTCTCTCACGTCCGGAAATTTTCCATTTTTGTGTTAGAAGTTCAGATTTTTCGCCCTGCTGGTTTCCGCGAATCGTCCCTTCTCATTGCTTGACACTTCTTATTTTCCTAATCAAGGAACATATTGCTGAAAGAATCAGTAATAGTTAACTCACAGAAAACAGATAAGTTGTCCATAAAACAAAGATAGTCATAGGTGATAAGAAAGGTGAAACTATATTTTGCGGCAATTGAGCAGCTATGGAGTTGCTTGAGATAAAATTCCGTCATGTTAGGTTTCCAAACAGAAAACAATCATTGTAAAATTTGCAAAATTAGTCAAACTGAGCATCAAAGAACGTCAGACGGAGCGGCCAATGCTTTCCTCCACTGCGGTAGGTGTGATTTAACGTATTCAGTAGCCCTGTGGCACCAGCTAAAAACAGGACAGGGGGACGATTGTTCAAACAAGAATCGAGTGTGCATCCTGAAAGGCCCGCAACCACCAACGAAGAGAAACTTTTTTGTCACCAATTTATTCCAGAAGTAGATCCGGTGTCACGTCTTCGTTCCACCAGTACACAACTTTTCCATCTTTACTAGGACTCTTGTAACCCTTAGAATGCTTGTCACAATGACGACATCCACAATTAGCACAGATATATGCATCGTTATGGTTCCGTTCAGATCCTTCTATCTTCTGCCCGCGATTAACAGTTTGCTTCCTTTTTGAATCCCAAACTTCAAAGTTATCCGCTTAGTAGGGATGGTGATGAGTTTTGGCAGTTAGCCCACTGATTAAAGATGATGGGGACATCCAAACCTTCCTTTGCGAAAACACCCCTGGCAGCCTTCAACTACTGCGCAAGGCGAATGGCACGGGTTTTTTCTCATTCTGTATGCTTTTTAATTCACTAAATCATTTACTTGTTTAGTCTTATATGGACTATCCCCGGTTAGGGGATTGACTGCCCTCATTAATGTCTCTCTCGGGTTGCAGAAACCAAACAAAAAACCCGTCAGTAATCTTGCTTGGATGTTCACAGTATAGCACAGATAACTGAAGCGAATATACTCCATCATCCAGTGCTATCCAAGCAATATTTAAATAGATGAAAGAAGCGCTTGATGAGAGTGGCTACATCACTGCACTCACAGGTGTTAGGTTCTAGTAAAACCTTGGCGGGGTCATTCTACATCCGAATACATTCAGTCATTCTTCGAGTTCGATTGCTAGCATCTAAGGTTGTAGAAAGCCGGATTTTACATCTACCTCAAGCTCCATGGGTTTGTTATACGAATGGGTGAAAGGAGAAACACTCTTCCCTGCGAAGTTGATTATTAGCGTTTATGGGGCTAGAAGCCATTAGACAAAAAAGTAAACATTATATCTGCACAGTGAACATTCTTAAGCGCCCTCTTGGACTTTCCTGGACGTTCATTTAATGTTAAACAATAATGAACGCACATTGCAAAATGGCTTTACAGTTTCCATAGTAACCTTCAGCTTTTATCAGATGCCAGGGCGGAGCTTGGATTTCAGATAGTAGACAACTCGCACGCTTCATCAGTAGTATGCACCGTCACACTTGTACAATCCATTTCCTTGACAATTCTTTTCCAGTGGTCACTTGGATCCGCCAGTCAAATCCGCATTAGGTGGCCGTAGACCCGTATGCCAATCAGCGCGCACGGCAGCCAGCTTGGGGACAGATCCTAGGTATAGAGCTGAGCAACTTTTAAGCCTGGATCTCGATCTTCCCAGTCGAACCACCCGAGATTACGAACCGCCCCAGTTGGCTCCGCAGGTGGTGGCGGCTTTGGAAGCCGCTTTACAAGATGAAGAAGACCTGGAGCTGGATGGAAGGTGAGTTTGGTCTGCAATATGTACCCATTTTTCTGTTTATTTTGCATTTACTGACCAACCAGTGGACTAAATTTAACTGTAAACTTTATTGTCTCTGTTATTACATATCTATTCCAATAAAATCCGACTCTGTAACCCGAGAGGGTTTTGAACAATCCGGTGCGTCACAAACTCTTAATGATCCTTTTTCAGACACTAGTTAGTCACGAAGATTGTTTTCGCAGTAATAATGCAGTAATGTGAAATAGAAATGATATCTGGGTGAATGATCCGCCATGTAGTAGCTATGTCGCATTTCAAGTGCATCCCTCTATTTCTGCTTCGACAGAGCGTTTCGATAAACTCCGGTGCGATGAAGGAACCTATGGCATGATATAACGGGCGTGTGGTAGTTACTCAGTCGATAGTATTATAAGTTACAGGGTCATAACTTGATAGGTCCGGTTGGTAAGACTTAAACGTTCATCAGAATTCTTTGAGTTTGCGTGATTCCAAGATTTTAAACAAGCAAGACCGCAGCACGTAGCTCATATCCATCTTATACTGGCATAATTCCCTGTTCCAGTAAAAAGGACGAGGAAATTCTCTTTGTCATTTTCAGTAAAAGTGTTCACAGTGGATATCGCTATATCTTGAAATACTTGAAATTAGTCCTACCGCTGACAAATTGCTTATGGCCTAGAGGAAGAGTGGTAAACATGTGTTCGAATCCTTTAGGACTCCCTTACCGAATTATAGAGATTCCACAGACCAAGAACTGTTTCTCGTGTTTTAGGCACAGGTTAACTTAGGCTTTTTGCACTGCGCTATAAAATGTTACAGTTAGTGCTTGCTCAGTTGAGTTTTACTTCCTCTGTACATCAGTCGGTTTGATTCGTGGGTCATCCAACTCGCTTATGCTGATTCCGATGCGCAAATAAGAAACCAGTAATATGTGGATAACAATGTTACTAGTAGTAGCATTAGCAGTTTTGTTGCAACTAATCATTGGTTTCCAAAACGAACCTATTCGGAGTATCTCAAGGTCCATATGATTTACACTCAGTAGTGTTTATAATGTGTTGCAAAATAAAGTCATCCATATTTAGCCGATGTCACTGTTCCATTGACTACATTGACATCACAACAAACCTTTACCCACTATGATACAAAATGTGCTGTAGTTGGACTGAGCATACTGACTTCCAGAATACCTGACATTGTGTAGCAGGACTTGGAGATAAACGTTTAATTGCAGTATTGATTCTTGTATTTGCTAGAAACGTCCACTAAGGAGCCGGAAGTTTTACGAGCACATTATTGCTTCTCTTGTGCGCAAAATGTACACAACCAAGAACACTTTCCCATCACAGCATTTTCGTTCATCTATACTACCCTGGCCGTAAACCACTTTTGCTCGATTACTCAAAGTGGTGGCGTCAGCGTTCAGTATTGCATGTAACAGTATGGTTGATATTCCGGTACATATACCCACACCGTTTTGTGAATTCATTTGATCGGGAGAACGAAGAGGCGAAATTTTTGAGTTCCGTAGATCCCTATACATTCAGTCAGAATTTCGGAATGAAAAATTCTTGGAATAGTTAACGGCTTTATCCAATACGATTGAACATAAAATGAATTTAAAGCCATATTCGGCGTGCATTTCTCAATAAACAGAGATTTCATTGGGTACAGCTATGTCAAAAACCTGAAAGCCATTCATACAGAGTGAAATCGAATCGACCCATAATGTGTTGACGAGCGCTAATGCGTCTGAGTTTGGGGCGTAGATTTTATTTGTATAAAATTATGAGGGCGATGATAATCTGACCAAGTGCTAACAACGTTAGTCGATTGTGGCTGAGTTCCTTCTTCCCATTTTCTGACAAATTTTTATTTTACCTTTTTTCCCACAATATCCAGTCCATCCGTTTTCAAATCCCGTCCAACCAAAACGAAACGGAAAGACCGAAGGTGAGAGCAACGGGGCTTCTGGTGCCCAATCTCCACCCACCCCAAAACAAACAAATATGTCAGTTGTGTTTAACAGTGGGTGATTTACGACTCCCTTGCTCATGCGGCGTTTTATGACCAACCAACTTGTCCTCCAACCCGTGTGTTTGTTGGTAATACATCACATATAACAACACCAAAACTTCATCGTTACCCAGAAAACAACCTAGCCTTGTGCGTGTCGGTGTGCTTACATGTATTTTTCTTCACTGCGTGAATCGAAAAGTTCGTTACAGGGACGAAACGTTCGTCAGGATGGGATGACTTTTGTCCATATTCCAGAGATATTGAGCGGCTGAATAGATTTGTTACTGGGTTATTTCTGATTTGGTTTCCTCCCTCGACACTTTTGTGTCAGCTAAAACCGACAAAGATTTTGGATTTGATGGCGCTTTTTGACGGATTAGGTGAAAGAGATCACTCACTTTCAGCCTGGGGCATGTTCCGAGCGCATCTTTCAGACAACAGCGACGTGGAATGAATTTTCTACGAATTTGCAATGACCACATCCCCAGTCCGCGAAGGTACTATGCAGACAAATCTTTGTACTTTTCCATTCTTGGACTGCTCATACAGAACTTACTTTGCATCGACGTGAAGAGGTATAAACCAAGAGAAATATCATCATTTACTCAATCTCAAGACGGGCGAGAAGTTACTAAAAAACATCGGTTCCATCAAGCACTTTCACAGGTGTACTTCAACTCTGTAATTAAACGTCATCCGTTGATGATTGGCTTAAACTGCAATGTAAGTTTGTTCATTGGTATTCAAAAAATTATGGGAAAAGGTGGATATGGCCACCAGACGCTACCGATATGTGAGCAGCCTGTCGTGCAACTCACCAACGAAAAGCGTCAAGTGCAATTGCCCCCATATAGAGAGACCACTTTGTGCAGCCCGCCAAAATTTGGTAGTGTACCCAGACTCAGTAGACTCACTTTTTAACACCGCTCTGTCAAATATGACCGCGTGATTCTTCATTGCTGTTGCAGCATTACTCTTCTCTTCCCTTCATCAAGACACCTCTCTCTAATAAGACCAGAGTGGTTTGACCTCTTTCTAGATCGTAACATGGAGTAGGTGATGTATATGTAAAATATTTTAACTGCACTGCAATAGCTTTATTCAGGTTTTGTTCTTGGCTGAAAACGGTTTTCCATGCCACAATTGAAGTAACTTTTCACTTATGTATGTTTCAGATTTTGCTGACAGCTATCCCTTCTGTCTGCTTCATTTAAGATCAACCTTTTCCATAGAAAAACATTCATTTGTCAAAGTGGTGCTTTCTGTCGTTCACGCTAAGGCAGTAAGCAACATTTATTATCAGGAGACAGGCACTCAGATGAGGTAGGAATCCAAGGTATTTTCTTTAAATGTCTTGGTTTATGTAAGCCTGTTTGATGTCCGTATTGCGACACTGTAAACACGCAACAGCTTCGACTGCACAAGACAGCGATCGTATTATGATGGGATGAATGGACTGATGACACGGCTGTACTGTAGAAAAGCTCATCAGACAACTTGACTACTGTACTGTACGGTACTGATGCTAATCCATTTAATTCACTGTTCTCCCCCGAACCTTCCGTTTTGCTGAAATAGGATAGGATTATTCACTCAGAATCCGCGTGCAACGCTTTTTTGCGCCCGACGATGCACACAATTCCGAGCAACCAATATATCCATTCTGATTTTATGCAGACCAATAAGATTCACGGTTTTTTACACAAAACATACTGCATCCGCTATTCGATTGTCGAACTCTAAGGGTACATTTAAATTCAGTAGCTTCGATAACTCAATTAGTCAGCTGTTATAGACCAACGGATCAACTTCCAACTGCACACAAAAGCGAATAGTTTTCGTTGCTCAACTAACCCGCTGATGTGCGTGCCCATCTGTACCGTTTGTAATCCATCCAAAATTTTTCAACTGAAGTTCCATGTCTCAAAACGTCATCCTATCACCATCCTATCCAAGAAGTCAAAAATGGATTATTGATTTGCAGTTCTAATTGTGGATTTTGTCTTCAGTGTGGTTGCAAGTGAAAAATCTGCGTTTTAAACTGATTTCTTGCACTGTGGTAGTTTAAAATATCTCTTGATTTTAATGAATATAGGGTTTACAGCACGGTAGCTCAAAGTTCACTACAATTGCCATAAGTTCATTTAGATTCCTATCTTGCGCAACAACTCTTTGTAAACGAGGTCCAAGAATTCGTTTTGTTGCATGCTTGACTTCCGCCTTGAGTACGGATTCGAAGAATTAAGAGTTGAGATTTAATCAAACACCACTGGTTATCCGTTCACTCTACTTTGTTTTCTCATGGTTTCATTAAATAACTAGCAAGGTCTGATAACGGTTCGACCGTTTGGCAACACATTGTTTTCCTTGACGTGTGACATTAAGTCACGGGGTTGATTGGACGAGAAATAAAACAAGAATCTCATTTTACCTGATTGTTTCTGAATAAGGCGTTTTCCACTCTTAATTACAAACTAATCTGTTGAATTAAGAGTGGCTTGGAAAGGAAGTGACAAACTCTATATTGATTGAAGTGGTGATACTGAAGTCAGGTAGGTTCGTGTCCAATAGTAGAAAGCCTTTAACTCTGGAGTGGATTATGATTCACATGCACAGTTCATTTCCAAGGAATAGAATACATTTGTAACTGCATCGCTTTCGCACAAGCAAATGTAGTGAGTTTTCACGCCCGGCCTCGTAATCATGGCTTACATTTTTGTGCATGGATAGTTCGTTCGGGGGCGCCAACTAATATTTTGTTTGCTAGATGAAACGTTCCTCATGGAGGGCTAGGCTGGTATTTAATCCAGGGTTTTGCTGAAAATCGCGTTTAATACTTGTTTTGTACGTGGTTAGAAGTACTTAACCTGTAAAACCTATAGACTCGACCGTCTTTCTACTTGAGAGTTTCAGCTAGTAAATTCTGTAGGGCTTAATTTGTTCACACTTAGCGGCTGAGCCACGTTCGTTCAAGGTGCAGTAATTTTTCATGATCACAAATTACAACTGGTACGAAAAAATTGCTGCTGCGTCGTATTCTGGATCAGCACTCAAACTTCATGTGACTATCGTTGTGCAAGCTTTGATCGTCTAGTTTCATTGTTTTCCCCAAGTACATGCACAATCTTCTTTACAATGCTAATGTTCCATATTTCACCCAATTACAGGTTACGTACGGTGTCACATAAAACGGAAGCAGAAATATTTCCAGTATCCCGAGGGTTAGTGCCCAAATAAATCACACCGTCACCATGTCCTGTACGGCAGTGTATGCACGTCCGCTCCAGTTGACAGTTGGCAGATGGCAGAAACAAACCTCTCACTGTGCCTGATTCGAACGGATTTCGCTCTCCGCTCCGCAGTTGTCCTCCAACCGTTTCGAAAGTCCATATGCACAAACATGCAGTCGCACTCACAAGACAGTATAGCACAATTCTGTGCCATTCTGTGATATTTCATCAGTAACTGTGTCCCCTATTGCGCAACAGGCAAGCAATGTATATATTTTTGAAGAATAATCGGCACCCTAGGAAATTATGATCAGCATTTGTCCACATAAATGGTCTGTTGGTTTTGTTTTGAAAGTATCCACACCGAAAAAAACGAAACGCAATATCACTTTGGTGCGACTCCCTACGGTTGCCATGGTGATTTGAGCAGTGAGAATTTTAGTATAGCATAATCTGGAGAAACATAATAACTTAGACTGGGGCGCACTGTAAAGCCTTCGTTCTTGCTATAATCTGTGGAGAAATCAGACGGACCTTTCACCTGAGAATTCATCACATAAAGAGCTTATGATGTGAACTGAGCGACTGAAGGTATGCAGTCCTATATCTAGTCCAAATGCACGTCGTTTATTCTGCTTACCAATCAATCTTTGTGAAGTATCCCCTACGAACCGGAAAGCCAAGAATTATAACCGTGAGGGTGATTTTTGGCTCCACTTGCAACAGGGAACCCTCCTCTGAATCTTCCAAATCACTCCATCGCTGGCGCAAAGTGAATATGTTGTTATTTGAAGTACGTTTAGTACAAACTTCGTAACTTTGGCGCATTCGGTGATATGAATATGTATGATAGTAATGTATGCATAGATTAGAAAGGGTTTGAATACATGCTCTCCTTGCAAAAGACGGAACGGTTGTGGAGTTTTCAGCAAAATCTGGACTGGCTCTCACTAGCCCCCACTTATTAGCTCTTCACCTTTTCGCCAGCCAAACAAACCCTCTGGTGAAAGCTTCAAAAATGACCTCATTTACTTTTCGGCGGCGAGCCGCATGTAGGTCATGGCTTATGTGGAGTATCTTTAGTGAATTTTTACCTCTTCATGGAGCATGATCTGATGTTGCACACCAAAATTTCTCAGCGCTGTTTATGTGCAGCGGAACTTCACAACAAGGCGCTGACTGTTTTATATCATTCCTGTTTGTTTGTAGGTTCGATCTCAATCGTAGTTTGCTGTTATATCTGACTACTGTCCCCACTCCGGTGCCTAGTGCCGGAAAATAAGGCTCGCTGACAAGGAACACAACGACTTGATTGCGAACAAGCGAGTGCATGCAAGTACAACGGCCTTGCGCCGTATGTTTAAGGGCACTGGTTGACCTTGACCCAGGGCTGTCTCGCGCCATATTTTGAAGGGCACCCTCTGACCTCTATCCAAGGAGTTTGTGGACCTCAGTACATTTCAGGTATTTTGGAATAAACTTCATGACATTCACAAAAGATCGAGAGAAAGGTAACTTAGATTTACCCGAGCTAGCTGCATTCGCAGAAACTCTGTAAGCCTTTGTCTTTGCTTTTTGACCGGACAGTATTGGATGTCCTGAATGAAAACTTATCTAAGGTTTTGATAAATCCTCTCATTTGTATATCAATTTAGTTTTCATGAGTAACTCACCTTAATCTCCAGTTTATGAAGTTTTTGAAATAAATGTGCCGCACAATAGCTGCCTCATGTTTCAGTTGGTACAATATGCGAGATATCGCAGTATATTTTCACAAAAGAAACAAATCCAGAGTTTGCTGTCAAAGTTTCTAACTAAAGGGTGTTTTTAGGCTACTGTTCATTTTGTTATTTAGTGACTATCGCTTCAAACTAAATACATGAACGAGCAAATAAGCAGCATACGACAGCAAGTAGATATTTTTCTGATAGGCGTAAGCTGAGAGAGTGTATGTGTCAACTCATGCTCAACTTGTAAACATGAACTCAACCTAGGTACATCCAGTATGCGGACAAATGTCGCGCAATGAAATCGTCTTCCATTCACAGACTGTGCCACTGTTTGCGTCTGTTCTATTGGAAACTCGTCCCACAGAATGTGTTGTGCGCAACGAATCTGGCAGTCCCAATGTGAAAATTATGCATCCATTAGCAATGTGAAGTTGGCATTGTGGGAGGCATAAATATAATTTATGACATCCAGCTACTCACGGAAACTAGATTCTGTATTCACCTATCATCGTTGCTGAAGGATCACTGCGCATTTCGCTTGAAGTCATGACTACCAGCCAGTGTTGGAAGTGAGGACACCTGCGGTTTATTGTGCTTGGAGGGCACTGGTCTCTTCCCCTGTCCCATATTCCTTCTTTTCACTATAACGGTTTTACGACGATGTTCTTCACCGGTGTTACAGTCAACAAAAATGATCATGGTGAAGTTACACAGCGCAAGCTGTTCTACTGGGTTCTAATCCTATCGCTAACACCAAGTTTCATCTTGGTTATTCGCAATTCTGACTGTCCCGAAGAAGAGAAAAGAAACAAACCAACCTGGACGAGGAATATATTTATGATCAAGTGTTAAAACGTGATAACCATTAGGTCTAGAAGTAAAAAAAATAGATAAATAAATGAACTAATTGTACGTCACTCACAAGGTCGGCTACTGGTACACGTAGGGTAAGTTCACAAGGTCCTGAGAGAAAGGTTCAAATGAATAATCACGTAGACGTTCGAAAGTAATCACTAATGGGGGCTGAACAAATCTATTTGAGTTGAGTCGCTTTGGTTCGCTGCATGACTGGAGTAGTAATTGATGAGAATAGTGGGACAGATGGGTCGTGGGCAAATGAACACTCTGATTGGCTGGAAATCTTGTCTCTGATGCCTTGGTTCCTGAACTTGGTCCCTGGTACTTGAGCTCGTGTGAAATACCTTGAGGTCGCTCCAAAGACTGAAACTGCTTAGGATGACGCGCATTTTATTGCTTGTGAACAGCCTTATGAAGGTATGCTGAAGTGGTTGGAAATCACGTATTTTACAGATACTACTGATTAGGAATCTGGAGGACTACGTGATACTTATACAACATGCTCATATACAAACTTGACAGTGGAAATTCAAAGCAGGTGCAAGCAAGGTAGTTCTGGAATGTTTTGGAAATACGGTATTCCCCACCAATCAGTTTCTCCCAAACAACACCCCCTTAATTAATACCACTCGTATGAGATCTGGATCGAAGCTGTTATCCTTTAGGATAGGAAGTATTGGACTAGAGTTCCGCTCTTATTAGAGTTCATCGGCAGTGCAGTTCCTATGCTACGCCGGGATTCGAACCCTTGTCATCTGATATGTGGGGCAAACTTATTACGACCCCCACATTAGCTTTCACCGAACCGCGCCTGAATTATCAGGCCCGGTCAAAGAGTCCACCAAAGAGAGAAAGCGTAGAATAAACCAATCACACTACTCAAGCGTGACCTCGTTCTCTTGTGCAGACATGTTAAATCGGGTGCTTTCAGTGTTGCGCTGGGAGAATGCCGGTAAATGCTTTCCTTGGGCGTCAGGCATCCCGGGTTAAAATCTGATACTGCCAAGGGCATGTATTATTAGTGATGAAAACACTGAGTCTTCTGCTTCTCCTTTTCGGTGAGGACACTAATAACCACACCTACGCAGGTTAACAGAGTGCAAAGACCAAGATGCGGAATTCGTGGTTTGTGTTTTCTCACATTAGGGCATCAGTGGGCTCATGGCTCGCTGCAATACACCCAAGTTTGTTTTCAAAGTATTTGAGGATTTAAGAGTGACTTGCCCCGAGGAGTTGTTACTATCGTGGGCAGAGCATAGTAGGAACACCAGTCAACTAAGAGATTAAAGTCCGGCGTCTACTACAGTACGAAAGCCTGATAGGTCATACCAATGAACCTGTGACTAGAGGTGCGGTTGATTTCAAATGTAAGTTCGCACACATGCACTCCTTTTATAGGGAAAGTTCTGGACAGTTATGTAATCCAGTGGTTCTCAGACCACTCAGATCATCACCTACCTGCGCGCAGTGTACGACACCGTCTCTCCATCACTTTAAAAATAATGCGTGAAGAGTAGAATGAGGATCGTCAAAGTACATTAAATATAGTACAATTTTTTGCCAGGTACTATCCCCAAGAAAGCAACTATTGCATAGATTACAGTCCGATTAACAATGCATGATAGTACTAGTCGAAAGGCGTCAGGCATCTCCGAAGAAAATCCACTTTCTCGAGAATTCCGCCGAGTGATATTGATTATCCAGAGAAGGCAAGTATTCAAACTAAGATTATTAATTGCACTGGTCATGGCGTATTCCTATCTGCACTGATACTGTCATCCATCTTGACGATTCTGAAACAATAAAAGTCCCCCAAACATTAGCATAGGATGGATTTGCAGTTCAGTGCACCCACCAATGTGAGACTTGCATGAGTTTTTGGAAAATACAAGATGCTCTCAAGTAAACGTCTGACTATACATCACAAGATGTGTTAGGGTAATATAGCGTGATAAAAAGAGAGTCACGTAAACGTCGTTCATTGTAAAACACGACCACAATTACGGTTGGCTATCAGTTACTAGTCTCCGGCATACCAAGTTGAATTAGTGATCAGGCTAAAGAAAATAAAAGGTGGTTGACCAGAAACACCTACGATAGTAAGTATACAGTAACCTCCCTAAAAGAAAACCCATCTCCCCGAAACAAGTTTGATTCACTCAAGGCCGATGAGTAAGCCTTGAGATCGATATCTTTTGAGGTCATACTTCCACCTTCCATCCAGGGACACCTACAATATTCCTAGGGTGCGAATACTATCGCGGAAGAAACGGGAGCGAATTATGATCAGTGATCTTTTATGCATTTTTCCCTAATCAGATATCTGAACAACAAGGTGAAGATAACATCCTTCTTTCTAAGTGACTGGAGTCTTGTAAAGCGCTTCATGTTCGGTTGACACAAAAATACTACAATTTAC